TGGGTGACTCAGTCGGTTAGTGTCCGACTTCGGCTCAGGTCACGATGATCACAGTTTGTGGGTTCCAGCCCTGCGTGGGGCTCTGGGCTGACAGCTCAGAGCCTGGAGCCTGCTTCAGATTCTGTGTCTCCCTCTCTCTTTGACCCTACCCTGCTCACACTTTATCTTTCTCTCTCAAAAATAAATAAACATTTAAAAAAATACTGCCAGAAACAAAACAGGAGCTGCTCCTGTCGTTGATGTGGTGCGATTGCGCAACTACAAAGTTTTGGGAAAGGGAAAGTTCCCAAAGCAGCTTGTCACCTGAAGGGCAAATTCTTCAGTGGAAGAGCTGAGGAGATACAGAGTGTGGGAGGAGCCTGTCCTGGTAGCTTGAAGCCACTTGGAGGGAGGTTCATTAAATACTAATAAGTGCTTTAAAAAAATAAATAAATAAATAAATAAAGGAAAGTTGTATGGGTTTCCTTTGCTTCAGCACATGAACAGGATATAAACTGTAGGTGGTTTTATTCATTTTAGGTTATCCCTATGAAGTTGAGAATAGAGTACCTTTTTTTATTTCATTTCTTTTGGGTAGGGTTTCTTAACCTCAGCACTGTTGACATTTTGGGGCTAAATACGTCTTTATCGTGGAGCTACCTGTGCACTATAAGATGTTTAACAGTATCCCTGGCTTCTACTCATGTCAGTACATACCTCCAATTGTGACAACCAAAAATGTCTCTAGACATTGACATGTATTCCCTAGGAGACAAAAATCAACAGGTTGAGAACCACTGTTTTTGGCAACAGAATGTTCTCTGCTCTGAGCACTTTGGTTCCTCTGTGCTCAGCAGGGAGCCTAGGAGGTATCTGATCATGCCTAATGTGGCTGGTACATAGTGTGTGCGTGTTGGGGCAGGAGGAAGCATTGGGTGGTGGGAACTGAACCCCAGGACCTGGAGTTCTGGTAGGTGCTCAGTGCTGTATCACCTAGCGGTACTGTTCTGTGCACAGACAAGCCACAGAGACTGGTGTGTTGGGAAAGGCCTTGGGCAACCAGTCAGAAAGGATAAGACCTGGGTTCAAGGAGGGAAAGCGGCAGAGAAGGCTGGGGTAGGAGGCAGACTTCTTTCCCACAGCAGCCAGAACCCCAATGCCTCCTAGCTCTACAGGCAGAACCTTAAGATGCTGGAGAACGGCCTTGGTTTCCCATTATCCCTGCTTGTTCCCATTCAGATGACCTTCTTTCTACTTTACTTCTCCACCTCCTTCCCTTTCCATCCTCTGATCTGGACCTCTACCCCCCATCTGCTCGCAGGGGCCCCAGCATACCTTAAGCATTCAAGGTTAAGGCTCTCTTCAGCCATATTATGGTGATTCAAATGCAGTGGATAGTAGTCTCCCCAAATTCAAGAGCGCTCTAGTGCTGGCCATATTTAGACCATGTTGCCCTTTTGGTTTCTTTAAAGTTCAATTATGCCCCCATCCCCATCCCCTTTCTATCGTAGGTGTATCTTCTGTAAAAAGTGCAGTTTTCCCCAGCCCTTTGAAGAGTTACAAAGTATACTTTGTAGTGGCCTGAGCGGGATACAGATGAGCACATGGGGACCACTGTGAGGTGCCAAAGAATTTGGGGACAAGGTCAGAAAACTCACCTCCTGGAAATAGAGTCAGTTTGAAACAAATGGGTCATGGCTGAATTTGGCCAACTGCAGAATCAACTTCCCCTCTGGCAGAGAGCCAGCCTCCCTACCTGGGGATGAAGGAGCCACCTTGCCAGTGTGTGGCCTAACACAAGTCACTTCACCTCCATGAGCCTCAGTCTGTGAAACAACAGATTTAGAGGAGGTGATCCATGACTTTACCACGTAAAACAAAATCCATAAACATGTCCTGCCCCTACTGAGTCCAAATATCCTTGAGGTTGGATGATTTGTGAACAGGCATTTGATGGGGTCAGTCCTTTTTAACAAGGTGGTATTTTGTCCTTAGGATTTTGTGAACAGCTTCTCAGCTTGCCACCACCCTCATCAGCCCCAGGACCAGCTGGCCCACCCACTGTGAGGAAGGTACATGTGCTCTGGGGCTGCTTGGTTGGCTTTTTGTAGCTGGTCTGCTTTGGGAATAAAAGGAATTTCTGATTCAGCTCCAAACTTGTTAGACCATAGTTTTCCATGTTCAAAGAGCTCTAGGAGCAAAAATGGTGCCTTGCACAAGAAGCACCTAGCAATCTTTGGTTTTAAATTTTTTTTTAAGTTTATTAATTTTGAGAGAAAGACAGCATGAGTGGGGGAGGGGCAGAGAGAGAGAGAGAGAGAGAGAGAGAGAGAGAGAATCTCAAGCAGGTTCCGCACTGTCAGCACAGAGCCCTACTCGGGGCTCAAACCCACAAAACCATGAGATCATGACCAAAAGTTGGACACTTAACCAACTGAGCCACCCAAGCGTCCCAGCAATTGCTGGTTTCAATGAGATGTTAGTCTTATGGGGGAAGTTGAACCCTTATCAATATTCTGCCCAGCTCTGGCTACTGTCTCCCAAACACACTCATTCCTTCGTTGCCTCACCTTGACAGCTCCAGTCGGTTGATGCTTATGGTGGGCAGCTATCGGGTTGTGTGGCCTACCTACCCCTATGTTCTAAGAGCTGCACATCTCTCCCCTCCTCCGGCTCTGAGGTCACTGGAAAGTTCCTGCAGCCGTGTTCTGCTGTGCAAACCTGTGTCCGTGGCACAGCTGATGGGGCTGGATGAACACTGATGCAAAGCAGGGTAACCAGGGCCAAGCAGCAGATTCAGAAAGCGTGCTTAGGGAGTTTGAGTTGCACCAGTTTCGCTTGGAGATGTCAGTGGTCTCATTTGCCCCAATTGGAGAGTGAGGAGGACATGCTATGGTGCAATGGAGGTCCTGGTGACATTTAATGCTGGCACCAGAGTTCCCAAGGCCCAGCTGCACCCTTCCTGGAACTCGGAGTCAACCCCAGATTCCTAAAACAATGCCCCTCACCCACTTTTGTTTTTTTCCTAGCCATAATTGTAAATAAAAACCAAAAATCTGGGGCGCCTGGGTGGCTCAGTTGGTTAAGTGTCTGACTCTTGGTTTTGGCTCAGTTCATGATCTCACGGTTATGTGAGCTCGAGCCCCACTTGGGATTCTTTCTCTCTCTCCCTGTCTCTCTGCCCCTCCCCCACTTCTGTCCCCTCTCTCTCTCAAAATAAATAAATAAACGTTAAAAAAAATTGCTGGATTCCCAACAAGTACAAGCTTCTGACCTCAAAGAGAGGCCATGGTAACAGTCCCATGGAACACAAAACCCATGGGTGCAGGGATTTCAGTCACTTTGAAAAATAAGCTGTGACCTAATTAAGTCACACTGGGCAGCTGTAGGTGAAGAGGCTTGCAGTCCAGACTGTGGAGGGCACTCCCTCGATAGATGGCAGGTATCCCTGCACCAAGCCCCTCCACCCAGCCAGGCTGTTGTGGCCTGAAGAAGGTCTGTTACCAAAGGACACCTTGGAGCTCTAGGATTTCCCCCATGACGTCGTTACATGAACATTTGCTAAAGCTCAAAGACCTTCTACTTAATGACATCAGATAGACCCAAAACCACAAAGAAAGCCATTTCACACATTGGTCAACACCTACATTTAATCGTTGTGTCTTGGAAAGAAATACAGGCGTCTTGGTCATGGGATGTTAACTCTTTTATTAACTTAGGGTTAACATTGTATTTGTTCTGTGGATTTCTTTTTTGAAGTTGTGGATTCAATAAACAGCTGGGTTTCCCCCAGCTCCTAGGGGACAAGGCAAACGCATTATAGTCAAAGAGGGGAGCAGGACAAAATGGAGAACAAGCTTGAAAAAATTTAAGGCAAATGTCACTCCCATATTAAAGGGAATTGATCAAGCATATCTGTGCATTTCAATGAAAATATATGAAATATCTGTCAAAATAATTAACATCGGTAAAAATTAGAACATGTAGCTTATAAAATGCCTACACAGGTTTGGCAGAAATAAATCCAACCGTGTCATTAGGCTCATAGTACACAGACACAGGAGCATCTACCTTAAGAACAAGTTTCCTGAAGAGCAGAGGCCAAGTGTATTTCAAAAGCAATTCCACGAAATGGGCGGTGATAAGATTAATGATTCACGGGTTGGGTTTACATTTTGGCAAGAGGAATTGCTTAGTCAATGGGGCTCCTCTTGGCTGGTCCCTGGGATGCTTCCTGGGGACCCTCCCCAGAAGGCTCTGCATCAAGTAGAGGTGATCATTCGGGCCAGGAGGCTCCCAGAGACGTGGTGACAAGGGGCGCTCAGCTCACCTACGGGACAGTGCGGCAGAGAAACAAAGGGTCTTCCCGTCCAGATTTGGAACTGGGACGTTCTAAGACATCACTGCAGTTCCAGAAGTAGCTGACTGTGTAGGAATGGATGCTCCATCCCCAGTGGTCATATATTTTATGCCCCCCAAGTCTATTTTATTTACAGCCTGACCAAACCGTCCCCAGGCTGCTCCGCGGCAGGTGGGGGAGTAGGTGCGCGCTCGGCCGGGCATCACATGTGGGGATGTCCCAGGCCTGGTGGGTGAGATTCACTGTGATGCTGCACAAAAGCACGGGGAGAAGAGTGGTGTGTGAAGCCAAGCATCTTGCCTTTCTGCTTTGGTCTTGAAGATTCAGTAAACTTAGGGTCCCAGAGGCTGCCCCGAAGCTGGAGCTATGGATTCCCAGAATTCTTTGTGTTTCCATCTTAAGTTTGCCAGAAGAATGTAGCCAGCAAGCAGAGTTTGAGAGCCTGTCACTGTTTGAAGAACACCCCCTTATGGCCCACCACCCATCTGGGCTGGGTGCTCAGAGATGCTGCAGAAGGACCTTGCTCCTGGGGAGATAAAGCTGTCAGACGCAGGGCACCCCCCAAACAGGCTGTGGCTGACGGTCTGGAGAAAGGCTGCTGAACGGACGGACGGACGGACGGACAGGAGGGGCCCTGCCCCCTGCAGTCGGCTGGGTGCCCCTACCCAGCCAGGAGGCACGTGCGGCAGCAGAACTGAATGAACAGCTTCCGTTCACAGAGCCGGTTGGACTTCACCATCTCGCAGAACATCTCGTCAGCTGGGGTCCCACCAGGAAAGAGAAAGGAGGGATGTGTCAGACTTTGGGGCCTGACATGTTCCAACCATCCCATTTCACCAGGCCCCAGCGATGGGCTGGGCAAGGGTCATGGAAGAAGCTGGGGGCGGCAGCCGGGGTGGCTGTCACGGTCTTCCTGGGACATGTGGCAAGCCTGGTGTGGCAGAGGGGACATGTGGCGTAGGGAGCACCTGGGTGGCTCAGTCGGTTGAGCGTCCGACTTAAGCTCTGGCCATGATCTCAAGGTTCGTGAGTTCGAACCCCACATGGGGCTCGCTGCTGTCAGCACAGAGCCCACCTCGGATCCTCTGTCTCCCTCTCTCTGCCCCTCCTCCTCTTGTGCTCTCTCAAAAATACATAAACATTAAAAAAAAAAAAAAAAAAGAAGTGGCACCTAGCATGCAGGGGCTCACGCTGGGTATAGGGGATGGGGGCAAACTGAGGCAGGGTGGAGGATGAAGCCAGCTGTACCAGCCAGGCCTCAGTGCTCCTGTGCATCTATCTTCCCAGACAACTGTGGTGGTGCAGGACTTCGTAGGAAGACTCTGGGGGGTGGGGCTAGGGTAGGAGGGCAGGCCTGGGACAGGTCTGTGTCCTGTGGCTGTGTTCTGTCTGGCGGCTGCTCTTGTGTCCAGGGGGCTCCCCAAACTGAATGGGATGGGAGGGAGAGAGTCGTCAAGGCGAATGGAAAGGGGGAGGGGAGGAGGGATGGAGACCAGCCCATCCCAGCTGGCTGCTGAGTTTTTGAAGAGGCCTCGTCCTTGTTGGGACCTGGGAGCCCCTCCCGAGACTGCCCCGCTTTCTTGGGCTGTATCTATAACCTGAGTAGCTGACATGCTACAGAGGGAGCTTCCTATTCTGAAAGCACACAATTCTGCAAACCAAAGAGAAAAAACAAAAAGAAAAAACAAAAAAAGACCAAACACCAAGGCAAGGAGGCCACACTAAAGTGTGCAGGACATGCTGGTTTGTGCTCTGCCATGGCAGGGCCAGTTACAGCTCCAAGCCCAGGGATGCCGTGGGGCCACCAGCTTTCTCCCCCGCACACCGGTTTGAGGTGCCCAGAGCTGGCCTGCGATGCTCCTCCCAGTGGCTCGTTGAGCATGGAGTCTTCTGGCTCACTACTCCTGCACCAGGTCCCCGGGCCAGAGTCCTCTGCCTGGAACCCCAAGCTGGTCTTTGGTCTCCCTCAGAGTTCCTGTCTTCACAGCTCATTCTGGTCTCCAGTGGGCCTAGAGATCCAGGGCTCTCCCACAGCAGATGTGGGGCTTTCCTGTGGGACCTGGGGGGCCCCGAGTCTGGGCTCTGAGGCTGACACCCTCCAGGCCTCCTGGCTTCGACCCCCAAAGTCAGGCCTCTTCTAACAGGACTCACTGCACCCAGGCCATTGGGCTTATGGCACAAGAGTGGGAACGGTACCAGAACAAAATCAGCTTTAAGAGTCACTTGGCAAATGGACCGGCAGTAGCTTGGTGGCCAGGATGCCTCCCTGGTCAATGTGAGGGGCCCAAAGGGACAGTAGGAGGCTATGAGGCATCCCTGATACTGGGGCCAGCACACCCATTCAGAAGGGCTACTGTTCCTGCCTCTTCTCCTTCTCTTCTTCTCAGCTCAGTGAACTGAGCTCCTCCAAGGGCAGCCCCGAGGGTAACTCATGTCCCCCCATTCCCTCACTGGTGCTCACCGTTGCTGCACGTATGGTTGGTGATGCACGTGGTCCCCAGCAGCGTGAAGCCTGTCTTACACCTGCTACAGTTCCTGCTGGAGCCTTCACAGCTCAGGCAGCTCTCGTCACACCTGTGGGAGGACACGGGTTCATGATGCTGCTTGGGAAATGGGCCCAGCCACTCCAGGACCCCCCTCCTGGAGCCCCCCTACCCTCTTGCACTGTCTCCACCTGCAGCTGTGGCCACCATGATGGCCTGAAACCCCAGCCAAGCATCTGCACATCCTACCTCCTGTCTGACTGCACTATCGCCCTGGGAGGGTGAAGTCGGCAGGAGCATGCCTGGAGTCGCAGACAGGCCCAGGTCTCTGAGACTCCCTGTGGCTCACCTGGACACCTTCTTGGATACTGTGCCCCCCGCCCCTGCCACCAGGTGGCTCCTCAAGCAGCATCAGCACATGCACCCTTGGGCAGCTGCCCAGCTCTGATGGCTACAGGGTTGGGATGCAGGGACAGGGGCGTGGCAAAGCGACCCTGGAGCTGGCCTGGGGACTGCTGTTGCCCACGAGGCTGAGTTTTCTTTGCCGTGATGCCAGCCTCCCTCCAGGGCAGGCAGGCAAGGTGAGGATCTTCCAGTTCTTGCCCTGAGATGGGACCCAGGGCTCTTTCTAATGCAGAGTACCGTGACCTCAGGGGAGGGTTGGCACACCGTGGCCCTCAAGCCACATCCAGCAGTTGTACTGGAAGGCAGTCACTGCTCATCTATGTATCATCCGTGGCTGCTTTCACAGCGGCAGGACTGAGTAGATGGGACAGAGACCATGTGGCCAGCCAAGCCCAAACTACTCACCACGGGGCCCTCTACAGAAAGAGCTTGCCAACCCGTCCCTGGGGCTTGAATGTGCACCTCACCTCCTCCGGACCACGTGCGGACTGGGGCTGCACCTGCCACCTTTTCTGGGGCCACTTTGGTGAGTGGGTCTCCCAGTGCTCCAGTCTGCCACCCGGCTTCCCCACGGATGCCAGCTGCAGGTGGAACAGGCCCCAGAGGTGGAGCTCAGGCAGGGCGGGTGGGGCATCCGGGGCAGGAGCCTGGCTCAGATGGCTCCTGCATCTGCCCTGTGTGGCCAGTTCTTTGCTTAGGACAGATGCTACCCTCCCAGTCAGGGACTAGATGCTATCAACAAAGGCTCCTATAGGCCTCTTTCCAAAGCAGCCATCCGCTGGGTTCTCATTTCACCATTGATTCTGACTACATGGAGCCCTGGTGGGTCATGCCCTCGGCCTGCTCTTCCAGTGCAGGATGCCCCCAGACTGGAGTTCAGGCCCGTAGTCTATATTTATAAATGTGTAAATCCCACAGGCAAACTTGCTCTTCTGACTTCCTCCTCCTGTAGCAAGAGCTTTCCCCCCTACCACACCTCCCTGCCCTACAACCTGGAGGGAGAGTGGGCCCTGCCATGTGGGACCCTGTTTCTGTGCACTCTGGGGAAGCCACTAAGGTCTGGACTCTGTCCTGCTGCACCTTCTGGTGGCCCAGCCACAGACCCTTGACGCCACAGCACAAGGGATGACTTCCCCTGGGAACCCTTGGCTTCTTATACAGACCACCCCTGTGGGACCAGAACTAGGGCCTAGCCTGTTTCATGAAGATGCTTCAAAGGCCCTGGGCCAGCTTTCCCAGGCCCTGGCTGAGGGCAGCTTCAATGAAACCATGGGTAGAGCGTGCTAAGGTGGAGGGCCACCTGTGCATGGCTTACCTTCTCCAGATATAAGCTGGCCACGTCAGGGGTCTCCCTGCCAGCCCCCAGTGGCACTGAAGGTGAGTCAGTTTTCTATGGCTGTGTAACAAGCTACTACAAACCCAGCAGCTTAGAACAGCCTCATTCATCATCTCCCAGGTCTTCAGGTGGAATCCTGGGCAGGCTCCGACCTGCTCCCTGCTCAGGGTGTCACAAGGCCCAGGTCAAGGAGTCAGCTGGGCCGGGGCTTAGATCTGGAGGCCCCAGCTCAGGGAGAGAATCCAGCATCACGCCGCCCCCAGGGAAGGATGATGCCCCCCATCACCCCGGTAACACCGCACCCCCACCCCCAGCTGCCTTGAGGTCCCTCCTTCTCTGAAAGACCCTCTTGACTCCTCTCTGTCAGGATTACCTGCCCAGCAGGTAGCCCTCTCAGGCAGGGGGCTTTCAAAACACCTCTGGTTCTGTCACTTTCTATGGCACCCACTTCCCCACAAAACACCATGGCAACTTTGCCCTGCCAGACTCTGGAAGGACAGGCATGTGCACCGCAGCCCCTTTTCCGTGCTCTATTGCACGGGCCACGTGTCCTCGCCTTCCTTTTGCCTTCAGGCTGTTCCAGGCGAGAGCCAGACAGCAAGTCTTGTCATCCTCCAGTGTGGGCACAGAATACAGCAGAAGAAATGCCTGAAGTCTCTGCCCCCCTGAACACCCAGGAGGGGCCAAGGGAGCGGAGAACAGTGGGGAAGACTGAGGGCCTGATGGGCTAGCTACCCCTCAGGCAAGTACCCCACTGAATTGCTCTCCAGAGAGGTCCTTGCTCGCTCTTCTGGGTTCTCTTACTAAACCTTGGGGGTGTCCAGGGCCTCTTTTGAGATCCTTACCATGGACTGTTCTCCACTTTGGGCCTCAGGTTCACTGGTCTTCCTGGCATCCTGGTTGCCAACAAGGCAGGCCTATGTTCTGGGCTGGCTTTTCCACATAAGCCCCCCCATCTGGCTGTGTGGCCAGGAGCTGCCCCAGGCCTACCAGCAGGGGCCAGCCATAGCGCTTCTCAGCATCCTGGGGCCTGGAGGAAGCCAAACCCTAAAAGCTGCTGCTGCCTGAGTGGGGAGAGGCCCTGCACAACCAAGCAGGAGGGATCCACATCAAAGGGGTCTTCAGAGCCAGGGCACTCGAAAGACAGAAGCTTCCTGAAGGGCTGGCATTTCACCACCTCAACGCCTTATGCAGGGCTCCTCCTAGGGGTGTATCTCCAAGATCTGCTGTGGGAGCCCTAGCACTGGACTGGAAGCTTCCCCTCCTGTGGAGGTGAGCACCCAGGAAGATGCTGTCCCCCACTGTTGAGAAGGGGCTTAGGGGGCTGCCTACCTCTTGCTTCCTGGGCTGGGGACACCATAGTTTCTGGCTTACCAGAAAAACCAGGGGGGCTGGTTACCACACTCATGGGGATGCCCAGCATCCTGTGGGATCCTGGGCATCTGACAAACAAAAGTGATTATCACTGGGGTGTCTGGGTGACTCAGTCAGTTAAGTGTCTGACTTTGGCTCAGGTCATGATCTTGCAGTTGGTGAGTTCAAGCCCTGTGTTGGGCTCTGTGCTGACAGTTCAGAGCCTGGAACCTGCTTCAGATTCTGTGTCTCCCTGTCTCTCTGCCCCTCCCCCCCCAAACAAAAATAAATAACAATAACCATTAAATAAAAGAGAGTACCACTGTTTAATTCCGTGTGCTCCCTGGCTGCTGTACTTAGTGTAATCACCCTTGAACCAATGGGCTGGTACAAATGAAACACTTACTTCAGACACCCATCCGAGGGCCCCACAGAACTCAACAAGGCTGGTGCCAAGTTTCCTGTTTCAAATCAGCTCAAAAGAGGGGGCTGATGCCTGCACAGATACATAACCCCCTGTGGGGACCTTCTTTTGTGAGTCAAAAAAGTGCAAGGATTTGGTGGTCTCTCTCAGGCAACTGTGGGGTTTTCTGGTTTTGTGAGAACAGATTAGAACCCAGAGCAGTGTTCAAACACAGACTGCGGAGGCAACCCCAATGTGGGCTCAGCTGTGACCTGGAAGACAGGGCTGCTCTAACAGGGTCCCCCAGGGCTCCCTTGTTTTGAGGCTGTTTCAGAAGGAGGCCCCTCCCCCACCCCCACCATCATTATCAGCAAGGCCACCTTCCAACACCTCATTATCGGCTGCCCTGCCTGTCCTGGGATCTAGGTTATGAAGTCCTGGTGTAAGGCAGTAACTATTCAGCAGCAAGACAAGAGGATACCCAAGCAAACTTCTTTCATTGCCCATGTCCAATGACAAAGAGAAAGAACCAGACTGGGTTGGAAGCCACCAAATAAGAATGGCACACCGTGCGGACACACAGGAGAATGAGAAGGGTTACAGTATATGTTCATTGACTGCATGGCAAGTGGTTTTAGAATGAAGACATTGTCTGTACCTAAATTTTCTCTAATTTAAAATGAAAGAAATCCCCAACACATGAATTCCTTCGTTACTACCAGCATGGGTGCATCTTGGGCTGCAGCAGGGAGTTGCTCCCATGGAGTCTGCTGTGGTGATGTGAGTACCGCCAGGCAGGCACCTTGTTATCCTGCTTCCTGCCCCCTCCCAGCTAGAGTGCCTGGCACACAACAGACACTTGTTAAATGAACCAAGGAATGAAAGCCACCAACGAACTTGTGACCTTGGCAATCGCCAACCACAGGGGGTCCCTCCTCTGTAAATGGGGTCTGGCACCCCCACCGTAGCTCCCGCACCCTCTGCAGCTGTGTGATGTGGCACCCTCCCCCAGGCCCAGGGAAGAGGCCACCAGACTTTGCCCTCCGGCTCCTCCCTTGCTGCCCCAGGCAACGCCATTCCCTAGCAATCTTGGTCTGAGCCAGGAAGACTGAAAGAATTGCGTACCTTCGGCACACTTTGTGGGGCAAGCCTGGCATCTCCTCTGGGTAGAAACCTTCACCACAGGCTGGCACACATTTCCAGTCTTGGAAGTGGAAGTTTGCTGCACAGTGAATACATTCTTCTCTGCTGGGCCCTGAGGAGTGCAGGGACAGAAGCAGATGTCAGGGATGCCTGCCCATTACCATGTTCCAGGTCTGCGGCGGTGCCCTGGGGATCTGGGGTCTTGTTTGGATGCCCCTGTCCACCACCACAGCCAGGTTTCCCAAGTGCCCACCCTGTGTCTGCACCGGGCCTCCCTGCACCCAGGGAGGGACGTGGAGGCATGAGCCAGGCCCAGCACACCTCCCACTGCCCGTGCCGTGTTTGATGGCCCCCATTCCAAATGCTTCCTTGCCAACAAGCTTGGTCCCACTTCTTTTTGCTAGAGGTAGCCACGTGTGGCTTGGAGCGCTTGAAATGTGGCTGGACCAAACTGAGACATACTGCAAGTGCAAAATACAGACACACTGGATTCCAAACACTTCGCATAAAAACAGAATAAGAAAGTCCTTGTTCATTTTTCAATGTTGATTACATGTTGAGATGATAGTATTTTAGACACAGTGGGTTAAATAAGATGTTATTATACTTATTTTTGCCTGTTTCTCTAGGAAATTTAAAATTGGTTCAGCGGCTCCCATTTGTGGCTTGCGTATTTCTTTTGGACAGAACAGCATGTAAGATGTGGGAAAAGTGAAGGAAGAGATTTTCAGGGGATGGTGTTGACAGGTATTTGGTGTGGACAACCAGGACATTTTCAACCACAGAGAACAAACAACTAAGGGCTTATAGAGTGGGGGATGGAGGCCTGAAGAGACAAAAGCTCAGAATGAAGGACCAAGAGTCAGGAGGGAGAATCTTCAGCTCAGCTTGGACTCATCAGCCTGCAGCAAACTTTGGTCTAGAATGAAGAAAGAGTGCTGTTCACCTCTCCACCTGTCCATGTGTCTGCCTGTCTGCCTGTCCATTTGTTCATTCATCCACTGAACGTCAAGCAGGCTGGAGCCTACCCTGTGCCAAATGTCCTTGAGGAGCACCTGATGGGACATCAGAGAGAGGCAGCGAGGTGGCCCCTGGCTGATAGCTTGGGGGTTGAACAAGGGAAAGAAGTCATTTCAGATGCTTATGGTGATCACAGTCCCTTGTTAAACATCTTCCTTTAATTTCACTGTGGTCTTAGATGGAGGCCTGGCAGCTAAAGCAGTAATATCTGGCCCTCTTCCCGGAGTAGCATCTGGACTAAGAGGGGACCTCTTGGCCTTGTCAAGGGAAGACCCCCTTGAAGACAGGGGTATGCAGGGTGGTTCCACCAGCCCCAAGGCTTGGTGCTCTGGTAGCTGGTTCCATCTCTCAGAACCACAGCTTGCAACCTGGAAGGAAATTCTGAGCTCATTCAGGATTGTGAGTGGGAGGCAGAAGCAGGAACCCTTTGGGGTCACTGGGCCTCCATAATGAGCAATGGCCCACCCACTTGTAGTCTCCACATGGGATGTCCTCTTTCCTTCGCTGCAATGCCCCACAGACATGTAGGGTTCCTGCCCAGTTTATGTCATTCCAGATGGAAGACTGGTCTTGTGCTTTGGCCACCCCTCCATCATGTATCTCCAGGGAGCATCTGGCATTGGCCACTTGGCCCTTGGAAAGCCCTGGGCCTCCAGAGCTGTGTGGTCCTTGTGGCTGTCCCCTTTGGGCCTCCTCTGCTGAACCCTGTTACCCACATTGTTCTGTCTCAGCCGTTAGGGTCCTTAATGCCTGAAGAGCTTCTGTGGTGCAAAAGAACACTCATTCATATTTGTACACTTGACCCTTGACGAACATAGGGGTTGGGGCGCCAATCTCCCACGAAGTTGAAAATCCACATTCCCCCAAATGTGGATTTTGATTCTCCTAAAACTTAACTATTAGTAGTCTACTATTGACCAGAAGTCTTTCTTTTTCTTTTTTTTAAATTTTTTAAATGTTTTTATTTATTTTTGAGACAGAGAGAGACAGAGCATGAGCAGGGGAGGGGCACAGAGAGAGGGAGACACAGAATCCAAAGCAGGCTCCAGGCTCTGAGCTGTCAGCACAGAGCCCGATGCGGGGCTTGAACCCACGGACTGTGAGATCATGACCTGAGCTGAAGTTGGACGCCCAACTGACTGAGCCACCCAGGAGCCCCTCTTTTTTATTTTATTTTATTTTTTTGAGAGACAGAGAGAGAGCACATGCGTGTATGTGCATGCACATAAGTTAGGAAGGGGCAGAGGGAAAGGGAGAGAGTCTTAAGCAGGCTCCACATTCGGCACAGAGCCCAATGCGGGGCTCAATCTCACAAACCAAAAGCTCATGACCTGAGCTGAAATCAAGAGTCGGACGCTTACCCAACTGAGCCACCCAGACGTCCCCAGAAGCCTTTCTGATAACACAGACACTCAGTCAACATACATTTTGTATGTTACATGTATTATATGCTATATTCTTACCATAAAGTCAGCTAGAGAAAAGAAAATGTTAAGAAAATCATAAAGAAGACAAAGTATATTTACTGTACTGTATGTATTGAAAAAAAAATCAACGTACAAGTGGACCCGTGCAGTTCAAACCTATATTGTTCAAGGGTCAAGTGTACTTAGTTTAATGTCCAATTTGCTAAACTTCAAAGCTGGTGAAACACCCAGCTGGGTTAGATGGGAAAGTTCTGGAGACGGATGGTGGTAAGGTACAATGTGACTGTACTTAATGCCACTGAAGTGTTCGCTTAAAAATGGTTAAGACGGTAAATTTTATGTTATGGATATTTTGCTGCAATAAAAGAAGCTGGTTAAACACACATTTTCAGGACAAACTATTTTCACAATTACCACAAACTATGAACTTTATAACCAGAAGTCTCTTAAGGATCCCATTAAGTCACCAGTCTTTGCAGGCCTCAGATGCTTGAAAAGCACCCACAGATCATAACAATAATAGCAAAATGGGGTTTGCTTATATGGGACCCAATCCGTCACATGTGGGGCCTTACTACAAAGTGAACACACGGAGTTCTTGTTCAAAATGCAGGAGAAATGTGCCATTAAGGGTACTAAGATATAAAGTGCTTTTCTTGCTTCTGCAATCTCTCTCTCCAGCTGTCATGGTGCTTTTTATCTGCCATTTTGAGCCTCTCTCCGTTAGTTAGAGGCCTGAGGAGGCTACAGTGGGTGAGGGCTGACTCTCACGGGGACCTGGGGCACCACCCTTCAACTCGTCTCGCATATGTTCTACCAGCTGCCCAGTGCTGACCAGTGTGTCATGTCCCAGCCGGGGACAAGTTCAGCCAGGCACCTCCCTGTCCCACGGGTCCCTGCACCAACCCACAGCTGTTGGGCAACCCCAAGGGGTCACAAGCCTCTGTGCCAAGACTCTGGGTGTCTGGACTGGGAATGGGCAAGAGGCTTGTTCCCATCCAGTGGCCCATCAAATGCCCTGGGGCACTGCCAGCCCAGGGTGGGGACAGAGGCCACCGTGCCTCACCCTGCACTTGTGTCTGACCACAACCCTGCCCATGACCATGCCCAGGCCCACATCCAAGAGAGGAGAAGCAGCAACCACTGAGTGGGAGCAGGGATGGGAAGGCGAGGTGGGCCTGGGCCTCAAGGGCGTGGGGAGCTGGCAGCTGAGAACAGCTATTTCTGACACAGACTCACATTTGACACGGAACAAAAAATCCTCCAGGCAACTCAGAGCAGAGAAACGGGGTCCTCTCCCCAGCAGCTTCCAGGGAGTGGATGCATGCATCTCAGGAGCCTAGAAAGAACCCAGGCAGGCAAGCACATGGAGGAAGGAAGACCCCCCAGATGGCCTCAGACTTCATAGAGTGACATGCCCGAAGTGACAGAGGAATCACTGGGTGGAGAGGAGAAAACTAGGGAGCAACTCCATCAAGCAGTTTGCCAACCGGCAGTCTGGGGATGTGGAGGAAGAAAAGTAAATTGAATTATTGAAATCTAAAGCGTTGTAAAGGCACATATCCGAATTTTATGGATTTGAGCAGCTATGAAATTTAAATAAGGAACATTGGTGATGCTCCTTAATCAACCTGGGCTAAACAAGGAGACAAAGAAACAAAGAATAAAAATGACAGCAAAAAATTAACCAGGCAAATGGCTAGAAAAAAGAGCTCAGCTGTCAGCAGCAGAGAAGGCTTCCAAACGTCGAGCTCTCGCTCCTTTGGGGTTTGTCCCAGGAGGGACGTGTCCTGGGAAGGCACATCTCTTGCAGGATTTGGGGGCTCCGGCTTTGGCCACAGCCCTGCTTTCTCTGGCACGTCCACTCCTGGAAAGCACAGCCGTGGCCACCCAGGGCTCACATGGCCATATGGCGACGGCTGTGCTGTCCCTGTCAGGTGCCGGGTAGGGAAGGTGAGTCAAGAGGAGAAGACTGTTCCCGAAATGTATCTGAGCCCACAAACTCACAATGCACTTCACCGTCTAGGGCGAATAACTCTGTCACCGGAAACCCAATAAAATGAGTGCATTCTCTGCTGTTGTGCGTAAAAACTGTGCCTGGAAGACATCTGTGCTATCATCTTCGTGGGGAATTATAATACACATAAAATTGTTTATAGAAGTCTTTCCTCTTTGAATAAAATGTTCGAAGTGAACTAAAGATGGGTACAAAGAAAGAAGGCTGTGTTTTAAAACGCCTTCTTCCCTTTACCACCACAATCAGCCCCCGTCTCTCTGCATCTTTATAGCTTGTGTCTCAGGCAGTGCCTTTTCCGCGGGAGCGATTAGCTTCCCTACGCAGCTGACAGCATCCGCTGCCTGGCTGCGCTTCTAATGCAGGGAAGCCCAGACTGCTCATGGAAAGTGAGGCCTTATGGTTTTTCCTTATTTTGAATTTGTAAAATTGTGATGAAAGGAACATCACATAAAATGGACCGTATAACCAGTTTTAAGTGTCCGGTTCAGGGGCATTAAAATACAGGGGGCGCCTGGGTGGCTCAGTCGGTTTAAGCATTCGACTTTGGCTCAGGTCATGATCTCACGGCTCAGCTCACGAGTTCGAGCCCTGATTCAGGCTCTGTGCTGACAGCTTAGAGCCTGGAGCCTGCTTCAGATTCTGGGTCTCCCTCTCTCTTTGCCCTTCCCTGCTCACGCTCTGTCTCTGTCTCTCTCTCTCAAAAATGAATAAACATTTTAAAAATTAAAAAGATATATATTCACACGGTCATGCAACCACCCACCCATCTCCAAAACTTTTTCATCTTCCCAGACTGAA